AGCCACCCATCCGGTCGGGCCCAGCGCCGGTTGCCTCACGGGGGGGGGCCGTCTTCGGTCGGGCGGGGCGCGATCCAATGCTGAATTTGGACCCCCTCCGTCGCGGGCCCCGCAGGGGCGTCGGCCACCGCCCGTCGCGGGGCCCTGCACGTCTGCACGCACGCGGATCCCACGAGCGCGGGCGGCGCGGCTGAGGGCCCGGCGGGGGCTTCGACCGCCCAGAACATGTGCTCCCATCGGTCTCCTGTGTGCCATCTGCGGGGAGATGCCCACTCGGGTCGCAATCCTTCGTCGGTAGTCAGGAAGAGACTGTCGGGAGAGGCAAACAACTGACCCCCATGGCTGGGCTTGGTCAGCGCGCGGCTGGCCATGCCTTCCGATCCCAAGCTCCAACTCTAGGACGCCCGAGGATGAGGGTTCAGCAGCTGCGCTCCTGGCGCCCAGCGCCCACGCTTCGACCTCGGCGTCTGCCAGGGGCTGGGTGACAGCTGGACCATCATCAGTAGGCACAGGAGTAGCATGAGAAACTCGGCGGTCCGCATCAGAGACCCCGCCCCCTGCCTCAGCGGCGGGGGTGGCTGGCGTTGCTCCTGCACCTGGCGCGGCCCGCGGGGCGGCTGCCCCCGCTGCGTCCGCTCCTGCTGCTTTCGCCAGCTGGAAGTCCAGGGCCACTTGCTGGGGTGGCACCGCAATGCCTTCGCGGGCTGCACGCCTCTCCGCAGTTGGACCCACGACCTTCGCAAGTGCCTGCTGGACCGACTCGACAACAGCTGACTTGATGCGGCCCCAATCCTTGCGATCACCATCAGGGACGCGATGAACCTCAGGCGAAGAAAATTAGCCGTCAACCAAGGTGGCCTCGGCCTCGTTGCCGCCGAGGGAATCCAGGGCGGAGCCTTCGGGCGAGGAACCGCGCCTTGCTGCGCGCACCTCGAACCCTGGGCAGCTCCCAATGTGGAGTCGTAGAAGCTCCAGCGGATCGGTTCCTTCTTGCTCCTGGCTTCGCCATTGCCAGCGCAAGTCCCCCCCCCCCCACGGACCCGAGGTTTCTTCGTCATTGGTTTTGGTGTGGTCTTTGCCACGGGAATCGGCGGCCCCCCAAGTCTTGTGCCCCGGCTTTTGATGTCAAGTGGGCCGCTAACCCACAGGCCCATGGGCCCACGAGTCTTAGCATCGGGTGGAGCGCGCCCTCGCACCAGTAGCTGACTGTATTCGGCTGAGCACAGCAGATAGCGTCCGAAAGTCTGTCCTCCTCTCGCCACGCAAACTTTCTCCGACAGGAGCTCAATGATAACGACCGGTCAAGGGGTGGACCTCGTCGGTTCCGGCCTGGAGCGGACCAGGCGACAGCCAAACGGTTGCCCCGGAGGAGCACCTCCACTCTCCGTGCAACAGAAGAACTACGAACTTGAGTCAAACTGGGCACGGCTCACCGTTCCTCTCCCCGTCCTCATCCTCAACCTTGATCCTCACTCGTCATCCTCATCCTCATCCTCCTCCACACCATCCTCCTCCTCATCCTCCTCGTCGTCACCGTCGTCCTCCTCCTCCACCCCCTTCGGGGACCCCGGCGGGCGGCCGCGGCCCAGCGCGCGGCCGGCCCCGGCAGCGCCGCGGGGTGCGCCGCGGGGCGGCGGGAGCCAGGGGAACAGGGGGGGGAGGAGGGGGCGACCAAGGGGCGGGGAGGGGAGAGGAGAGGGAAGATACGTCGCGGAGAGGGGCGAGGAGGAGGATCCGTCGCGAGGAGGAGGGGGAGGGGCAGGAGGAGGGGCGGGGAGGGGCGAGCAGGAGGGGGAGGAGGAGGAGGAGGAGGAGGAGGAGGAGGAGGAGGAGGAGGAGGAGGAAGAGGAGGAGGAGGATTCGTCGTGGGGCGCGGGGGGTGACGCTTGCGGAGCGCTGCGCAGCAGCAGCAGGGGCGTGCAGGAATGGCGAGCAGAAGGAGGGAGGGACGGACGGCGAGGGGCCAAACAGCAGGCCACCCCCAAGGCCAAGGAACCCCACCACCAAGGGCCGCGGCCAGAAAAGAACCCACCGCCCAGACAGAGAGGGCCCCCCCCTTCCCGGAAGGGTGGCACCTTTGGATCGGTGGTTTGTGTGTTTCCTGTTTTCTCCCGTACTGTCTCTCTCTCTCTCTCTCTTTCCCCCTATGTTCTTGATATTTATATGTATAGCTATAACTATATCTATATATGAGTGTTCGCTCTCTCCCTCTATCTCTCTCTATCTCTCTGTCTCTCTCTTCCCTCTCTCTCTCTCTGGCGATACCCAGTGAAACTTTCGACAATTATTCAAACAGACATGGGATTAATTTGGCACCAAAGAATGTTTAATTGATTCTCGTGGTACACACATGCGACTGTCATTGAACCTGGAGGACTCCACATACACAACACTTCTCTCAATATCATAAATGGCACCTCATCTAAATTACAACGGGGCGGACTCAAGATCCACAAGACTTCTTGTGTATTCGATGAGGACTCGAATCGGTGTTCAATGGGAGGAAAAGGGAGCCAGATCCGCAGGAATCCGATTGGATTGAACTCGCGTCCGCAAGTAAATTTCATAAGAACGAAGCGGTCTCCGACCCCATAGGACCGATACTGGATTTCAATCGGACGGCAATCACATGTTGTATAAAGAAGAGCGTTCCCTTTCAACTGGATTCCCTTCGAAATAAAAACGCATTTGACGATCTCAAGGAAAGTACGGCGCACCCCAAGCCGAAAAAACCGTGCTCGACATCAAAATAGCTCAAACAGGGCCCCCTTTGTAAAAAAACGGATGTGAATGAAACGCGCTGTACGCTCGCTTGTTAGCAAACAATAGATACACTAGCCGTGTATTCACACATTCCGCGGGTATTCCAAATAAACATAGAGCCACATAACATATGTGAGCACATGCTGCATTATAAGAACTACAAAACACTTTGACGTTTCAGCAATATACCGCAAACCAATGATACACAAACACATGTTGTTCACATGTCTGTTGTTAAATAAAAAACACCGGGGAAACGTCGCTTTCGTTATATCCAGCAGAGAACAAGTAACAAAGCTGGGCTGTCGAATCTGCGAGGCCAGAAACATGTAATCACGCTGTGGTTTAAATGCGTGTGACTGGCAACCGCTGCGCTTTTCCAGGTTCCCCATTTCGGCGCCGATTGGGGACGCAAAGTTGTCACAGTACCTTGCTGTGGGGATTGTCAAACCATGTATTTTATCAGTGCCGCTCAACGACAATCAATATAAGCCATTGTGCTGTACAGCCTTCTACGCCATTGAACACTCGAAACCTGTGTTTCGCAGGCCCCGAGCATTGTGGAATAGTTGTTTTCCGATTCAAGCTGCACGACAGCAATTCAGTAGCAATATGTAATTTGCGCATTGGGAAACACATCGTGTATCAATTGCTCATTTGACACGTGGGAAGCGCAGCGTGCCCATACATCTGTTACATACAGATTGGCAGCACAATATTCTTCTATGTGTTGCCAAAAGCGATTGGAAGCACAGCTTGTGCATGGTCTCCTTTTTTGATGGCTTCAAGCAAAAACAACATGAAAACGCGATGCTTCCCCAGCATCGTAAATTGTTTCGCGGCCCGCCGCCCGTCGGCCAGCCGCAAGGCCCGAAACCTCGACAATACATAGAAATGTGCAACACCAAATGCTGCTACCCTAAACAAATCTCACCACCAAAATATTGTCCTATGTGAAAAAATCGTTATCTGCAAGGACAGTGTTTTCCCACAGTGCTCGGACCTTCCGAAACACATGTTTTCAGCGCGCAATTGCGTAGAGTCTTTGGGCGCCACAAGAAAAGAGCGCAAGGTTTTCACAATCGCAGCATCAAACGAATGGGAAAAGCTTGCGTTTGCAACCGGGTGCCCAAGAGAGAACTGGAACACTCTGCTTGTTAGTGGTACTCAACCAAAACACTGCTATTGTAACCACGCCTAAGTTCCATTTGGGAAACACTATGACCAAAAAATGGTCGTTGCTGTTCTGTGCCATATACTGGAAACACACAGTGCTTCATGGACCGTATGAGACCACAGCGTTTTCAACTTATTCTGTGCTGAACAAATTTGAAACACAGCGCGGCGAGTGGTTGTTCAGCCAGATCATGCAAAACAGCGCCGAATTGCTTGTACTCATTTCCGGCGAAAGAAATTGGGAACACGCAGCGTTGTGTGGTTTGTGCATGCGCGAACCAAAACATGTGAAAGCACAGAGTGTGTAGTAGTGTTAGCGTACAAGTATTGTAGCTACTTGTTGATGTAGTTCGTAACCATAACAGACTTGATCGCACAAATGGCTGTTGCTCTTGTTGGGGAAAATCGTCTGCGCAAGATATGGGAACCTTCAGCGTTTGCATGTATGCTTTTGCCAAGCACCACTAAAGCACAGGGGGCTTGTGAGTCATTCTTCAAAATAAGTCATATATGATCGATATGTACTGAATTTGGGTGAGCCTTCGATTTCACGGACATCGGATTAAATGCTGTTCAAATTCCATGAAAGCCCCGTGGACCAGGGTTCTGGTTTTATACCAGCAATGAGCTACCATCCGATTGAAAGCCAAACGGAATCCTCTGGGTTCGGAATCCGCTCCGTCTTTGTTTTGAACGATTTGAACATCCAAATCAAATCCAATCGGAATCCTGCGGATCTGGGGTCCGCTCCCTTCTTATTGTTGAGATTCGATTCGGATGTAGATTCATTCCAAAAATAAACCATGCAGATGTGGACTTCCATCAATCTGCACTGAGATCAACTTGGAAGTCATTCAAAAGTTGGTAAAACCAAAAAGCTCACTAACGCCCTTTCGCCCGCTTCCGCTCGGCGTCCGCAATGCGTCGCTGGCCAAGTATGCTTCCGCCAACTGCCACAGATGTTCCGCTCGTTCACAAACGCACCTATAGACAACGATACCATACCACGCCCACCCCCTCCCCGAGAGGAGGGCCCCCCTATCAGAGGCCAACAGATCGGCTCCCGTAGCCCCGCGGGGGATGTCCAGGGCCTCCCGACGGCAGGCCGCCTCAGCCGCGGAGGCGGCGGTGAAGTCCCCGTACGCCTCGGGGAACTCCGCGAACAGCCTGGCGCGGTCCGCCGCCAGCGCCGCCGCCAGCCCCGCAGCGAGGTCGTCCGCGGTCTCCGCGACGTCCAGGTGCGTGCGCGGCAGGAACAGCAGCTGCGTCTCGCGGACCTCCCAGCAGGCGCGCACCAGCGCGAGCGCCACCTCGGCGGCGGCGGCGCGGACCGCGGCGGCGGCGGCGGTCCCAAGCCTCGGACGCCGCGATCTGCTCGCAGCGACGTGAGCCCCTGGAGGTCTTGACCTTTTCCCCGGGGCCGGTTTCTCATCCTGGGCTAGCGTGTTAAAGCTTCCCCAGGGTCTGGTAAGGGCCGCCGACAGCTGCCAAAAACCTGCCACCGTCGTTTTCACCCGAACAGTGTTTGCACTGAGGAGTTGTTACTTCCGTTCTTTCAACGATTGGATGGGTCCGCTGAAGATGCCGCCCCAAAGCACCTCGTGGGCGCGCGTGGGCGCCCCGTGCGCTGGGTGGGGTTCCGTCGAGGTTGCGCCGCGTGGCCGCCCCGTGGGCCCTCGTGGGCGCCCTGTGCGCTGGCTGGGTCCACCCAGGTCGCGCCATGTTGCCGCCCGTGACACCTCGTGGGTGCTCGTGGGCGCCCCGTGCGCTGGGCTTACACCACACCGCTTGCAACAACTCACTTACGCGACATAGCTTACGCCACACCGCGCAGCCTGCCATACGTGCATTCCCCAAACACTGCTTGCACTCTAGAGGATCCTACGTCTGCTCTGAGGAACTGGGCCGTGTCGTCGGTCTGGCGGCCATGTGGCCGCCGTCGCCGCCCCGTCGCCGTCTCAGCACTGCCCGTCCTCTGGGCCGTGTCTTCGGCCTGGCGGCAATGTGGCGACTGTCGCCGCACCGTCGCCGCTGCGGCGCCGCCCGTCGTCTGGGGTTGAGTTCGCCAGCCTGGCGGCTACGTGGCCGCCGTCGCCGCCCCGTCACCGCGTTGTCGCCGCCCTAGATGCTCCTGCCTGGAAAGTAATAGGATCGACCTCCCCTCTGGGGACTTGACGGGCCACTTTTTCGTATTGCAATGTACATGCGATCCTGCCCCATCGCCCAGCGGAAATATGCATCCGTACCGTCCCGGGTTGCCTCTGATCGCCCCCTCTCATCCCCCGGAAAAAACTATGCGCGCACACTCGCGCATCAACAAACATCATGTGCAACAACCCTTTTTGGTAAAATGTGACGAAGTGAACACGCGCGTGTGGTCGCGTGCGCATGCCGAAATCCTGCTAACAACTTGGGTCCCGTAACGATTTCAAAAGTGAATGTTCCTAAAATATGCTTTTCCCCAAAAAAAATCAAACCGAAAATAAGCGCGCGATCTTACGAGTTCTTGAAAGAAATCAGCGTTTTCCCACAACTGCATCACATTCTACCAAATGTGGCTCTCGCGCGCCCATGACGACATCATTCGAACACCCTCGCGCGCACGCTTTCGCAATAATCCTTCACAAAAGCGGCACGAAGTGCACGCACGCGCGCGTCGTTTCGCGCGCATGCCGACATCCATCAAAAACATCGGTTTCGTCAAAAATCCGAACGTCCCGAAAATTTCTTTCCTGGGGGGAAACGGTCTGACAACAAGAACCTTCACAAACAAATGTTCGCGCGCTGCGGATAATTCTTGTTTATATATGAAAACCATAGATTTCTCAGGGTTGCTGCGAATTCACCATTTTCCATACAAAAAACGTGTTTCTCTCAACCGTTCCATCATACTCAACCGGACGGGCCTCTCACAATGCTTGTCGAATGCATACGAACGCCTCTGTGCGCATGATAAACGGGGCGCGGCGATCCGTGTCAAAGAATACCATGAGGGCCACTCGCGCGCGTCGGCCGCGCGCGCATGCCGAACTTTTCAAAAACCTGAACGACCGACGCGAGGGCGCTGTCATCGTCGCCCGCGTGATCCGCATCGGCGCCGTCTCTGGCTTTGCCGTCGTCGTCGTCATCATCGCCACCACCATCGTTACTACACTCATCTTGTCTGCCGTTGTTGACGTCGCCATGATACCGCGCCCGCCCAAGCTACCGACTCGAACTGAAGCGCCCGCTGGAAAATGCCCAGCGGCCACCGCCACCGCAGCTGCGCCGGACGCGTCTAACTAGATGGCCGCTGTACGCGCGAGCATGCGCGGGCTAGCGCGTCCGCGCGGACGCACAAGCCAACACCAAGAGCTCATCGCAATCGCCCTCGCATGGGGTTTGCAAACCGATTTGCGGGTGGATGGGTGGGATGATTGCGCGAGCAATGGCATTGACAACTCCAAGCTTGTCATCACCACTTGCACAACAGAATGCACCGCATGATTTGCACCACGAATGCTGAACCGCATAGATTGCACTGTGCCGATTGCACAGCATAGCTTGCACCTTATACATCACCCATTTTTGAATTAAAATACCCTCTCAGGGATTCACGGGCCACCTGTTCGTCTTGCAATGTACATCCCATGCTACCCCTCGTCTATTTTTTTTTACAAAAAAAAAAAAACTAATTATAATGATGATACGAATGATCCCCTCCCCCAGAAAAATGCCATCCCAGGCAGGCATGTATCGGTTCCCCCCATCATCCTCTGGAAAATACTGTGCGCGCGCATTCGTTTCTCCAAAAACAGAAGTTTCCGAGAACCCCTTGCAGCGAATGGGACGAGGTGCACACGCGCGCGTCGTCGCGCGCGCATGCCCGAATGTATTAAAAACCGTCGGTTTCGAGTGCCCCAAAACAGAAAAGTTGCACGAAGAAAAACACGGTGTCGCAACAGTGAACTCCGCCCGCGCGCGTGCGAATTCTTAAAACAACTATAATGTGTCTCCGATGTTTCTTCTAATGGTGGCAAACAGGCCCCTCGTGCCGCATGTCGAAATCATTCAAATGCCCTTGCGCGCATGCTGGGGGGGGGGGGGGCACGACCCGTGTCAAATAACACTTTGCGGACCACTCTCGCGCGTCGGTCGCGCATTCATGCCGAACTCCCTCCAAAACCTGCATCACCGACGCGAGGGCGCTGTCTTCGTCGACGGCGTGATCAACATCGGCGCCGTGTCTGGCTTTGCCGTCGTCGTCGTCACCATCGCCACCAGCATCGCTACCATCATCATCGCGTTTACTTTTGTCGATATTGCCATGCCCAAGTCGCCGACTCGCACTGAGGTGCCCGCTGGGAGCTGCCCAGCGGTCACCGCCACCGCGGCCGCGTCGGTAACACCACACTATCTAGACGCTGCGCGCGCGAGCATGCGCGGCCCAGCGCGACCGCAAAGTACACCAGCCAAACCCAAACACTCATCGCAATCGGCGCCGCATGGCTTCTGCAAACCAAGTTGCGGGTGGATGGGTGGGATGATTGCGCGAGCAATGGAGTGGTAACTCACTGCGAACAGAAATTAATTGCACCGCAAAGATGCACGACATGGGGTGCACAACGTAGATTGAACCAGCTAAAGTGCCCAGCCAGTATTGAACCAGATAGTTTGCACGACTTCTATTGCGCGACGTTGGGTGCCCAACAAAAATTGCATCACCTAGATTACACCACTTAGGCTACACCACGTAGCTTGCCCACCGTGGGTTGAAGTGCATATTGCACCGAGTGGCTTGCACGACGTAGGTTGCACCACATAGAGCGCACAACAGTTCATGTATAATCACATTGGCTTTACACAAGAGCACCAGCTACACTGCACAACATAGGGTGCGCCACATACGTTCTCCTTACTATAACGATAATAAAACCTAACTTCCCCCCCCCAGGCTCACCTTTTCCGTCTTGCAATGTACATACTATTCTGTCCCATCGTCCATCCTAGATACGAATCAAATCTATACCACCCCAGGCAGGCCGGTATCGGTTTGCCCCCTCATCCCCTGCAACAGAAATTTGGCTTGCACACCCGCTTTTCAAAAATCAACGGTTCTCAATAATCCCCTGCAACATAGAGGATCGAAATGCACACTCGTCGCGCGCGCATGCCAACTCATTTTCAAAACATAAATTTTCGTCATGATGCCAAAATCGAATGTCCCGAAAACATCGTAACACACACACACACTGTTTCGCAATAGAGATTTTCAAAACAATCTGCGTCAGCGCTCGTGCGAATTCTTAAGACAATCATTTGTTTTACCATATTCATAACATGCTACCAAGCAGAGCCCCCGCGCGCGCATATCGAAATCGTTCGAACGCCTTTGCGCGCGCGTGCTGTCGCAAAAAACCCTTCCAATAAATGAAAAGGCGTGCACACGCGCGCGCCTTCGCACGCGCATACCGAAATTCCATCAAAAACCTAAAGAACCGTGAAGCGTGAAGCATCAATTCCATCCAGATGTCAAAAACTGTAGTTCATAAAACGTGTCAAAACACGCGGTTTTGCAACATCAACTTATATTTAAATACACATAAAAACAAAAACAAACAAACTGCGTTCGCGGCCTTATGGATTCTTGAGGAAACCATGGAAATCCACATGTCCATCACATTCTGCCAAACGGGCCTCTCGCACCGCATGTCGAACATATTCGAACGCCGCTGCGCGCGTGCTGGGGGGGCGGGGGGGGCACGATCCGTGTCTAATCATACCATGCGGGCCACTCGTGCGCGTCGGCCGCGCGCGCATGTCGAATTCCTTCAAAAACCGGCATCGCCGACGCGAGGACATCGTCATCGTTATCGGCGGGCGTGATCAACATCGGCGTCGCTATTGGCCCTGCCGTCGTCATCGCCACCATCGCCACCATCTTCGCTACTCTCATAATCGTGTTTGCCATTGCCAGCGTCGCCATGACACCGCGCCCGCCAAACCCACCGATTCGCACTGAAGTCCCGCTGGTCAGGTGCCCGCCGGTCAAAGCCACCGCGGCCGCGTCGGTCGCGCCAAACTAGCTGGCCGCTGTGCGCGCGAACATGCGCGGGCCAGCGTGGCCGCAGAGATGCACGAGCCAACGCCAAGCACTCATCGCAATCGCCGCCGCATGGGTTTTGCAAACCAAGTTGTGGGTTGGTGGGTGGGATGTTCGCAAGAGCATGGAATGTGTCAACTTGTTCGTAAAAAACCAACTGCACTACATAGCACGCACCACATATATTGAACCACCTAAACTGCACAACATGGACTACACAACATATGATGCATCACATAGGGTGCACAACATGTATGCCATGACATATACTGCACAGCATAGATCGCACAACATTTAGTTGTCAAGACACAGTTTGGGGTCCGCGCTGGCTAGCATGCATGTCTACAAATGAAAATACATGTTAATATGAATACACATGGTGTAACCCAACCTTATTACAGCGCATAGCGTTCACCGCTAGCGTATAGCATTCAGCTCCATAGCTCCGACCACATAGCTTACACGACATAGCTTACCCCGCACAGCTGACACCGCATAGCTGCCACCTCCACAATTCAAGAACTCACTGGTTCGGGTCATCGCCGGCTAACATTGGCTAGCTTCGAGGTGCTCTGGGGTGACGGCGGCGGCGGCGGCGCTAACAATGGCGGCGGCGACGGCGGAGGCGGCGACGCTGCAGACGGCAGCCACCTCCACGTCGGGGGCGGCCGCCAGCGCAGAGCGCGCCGCACGCGCCAGGGCGCGTCGCAGCCTGCAAAGCACCAGGTGCCGCGGGTGCAGCCACGCGGCCGCGCGGCGCTCGAGGGCCAGCAGGCCAGCGAGCTCCGCAGAGGCGGCGGTTGGTCGGGAGGAGGGGCCGCCCAGACCGTCGAGCTGCGCCTCCAGGTCCTCCAGCATGCTGGCACCGTCGCCGGCCTCGCCTTCGGGCAGGAGGGGCTAGGCCCCACCTCCTCGCTCCGTGACAAGGACACACGCCGAAGAAAAACTCTTCGCCATGTTCGGCGTCTGAGGGTCCAGGGGCCTCAACGGGCCCCAGAAAACGTCACAAACCAACTCAAGATGAAGAGCCAGTCTCGGAAATCGGCGGCGAGCGAGGGGGTGAGGGGGCCTTTGGACGGGAACGGGGGTCTGTGGACGGGAAGGGGCGGGGTGTCTTTGGACGGGAAGGGGGATCTGGAAGGGAAAGGGGGTCTTTGGCCAGGAAGGAAGAGTCTTTGGACGGAAGGGAGGGAGGGGTTCTTAGATTGAAGAAGGGGTCGTTGAACTGGAAGGGTGGATCTTTAAACGGGAAGGCGGTGTCTTTGGACGGGGACGGGGGGCCTTTGGACGGGAATGATGGGGCCTTTGAACGGAAAAGGTGAAGTCTTTGGACGAGAAGGGGGGTATTTGGACGGGAAGGTGGGGTCTTTGAGGGGAAGGGGTGGTCTTTGGAGTGGAAGGGGGGGGGAGTCTTTGGATGGGGAGAGGGGGGTCTGTGGACGGGAACGGGAAAATCTTTGGACGGGACTGTAGCCTTTAGCAAGGAAAAGGGGCGCCTTTGGAAGGAGGGTGTCTTTGGATGGGAAGGGGAAATCGTTGGACGGGAATGGGGGTCCTTTGGACGGGAAGGGGGGATCGTTGGCCAGGGAAGGGGGGGCCGTTGGACGGGAATGGGGGGGGATTGGACGGGAAAGGGTATTTGGTCGAGAAGGGGGGGTCTTCAGACGGGAACGGAGGTTATCGGACGGAAGGAGGGTCGTTGGACGGGAAGCGGTCTTTGGACTGAAAGGGGGGGTCTTAGGACGGAGAGGATGGTCTTTGGACGGCAAGGGGGGGCCTTTGGACGGGAGTGGGGGAGTCTTTGGACGGGAAGGGGGGTCTTTGGACGAGAACGGGGGGTCTTAGGACGAGAAGGGGGGAGTCTTTGGACGGGAAAGGGGGTGTTTGGAAGGCAAGGGGAAGTCTTTGGATCGGGGGGGGGTCTTTGGACGGGAAGGGGGTGTCTTTGAATGGGAAGGGGGGTCTCCTTGAACAGGAAACGCGGGCCCTTGGACGGGGAGGGGGGGTCGTTGGACAGGAAAGGGGGTCTTTGGGCGGAAATAGGGGTGGAAGCGCAGCAGGGTACCGTTCCATGAGGTAGGAAAGCTTAATTACCTCCAAGGACCAGGTTCACGCACGCGGCACCGCTGCGTGGACAAAATCGTCCATGCCGCCTGGGAATCCAGCGCTCCAAGGCGGGGCCCAGGTGGCCCAAGACGGCTCCCAGATGGCCCCAGTCGCCTCCAAGTGCCCCAGTTCACGCATGCGGCGCCGCCGCGTGGACAACATCGTCCACGCAGCTCGGGCCTTCAGCGCTCCAAGACGGCCGCCCGATGCGGCCCCCGCATGGTTCCAGGACGGCCAAGGGAGGGGCCGCAGAGAGGGCGTTCCGGGGAGGGGGGGGCGGGGGCGCTCTGGGCAGGGCGGGGTGGTCGATGGGGGTGGCAGCGAGGGGGTGTCGGGGCAGAGTGGGATGTAAGACAGGGGTGTTGGCAGGAGGTGTCTGCGCAGAGAGGGGTGGTCGGTGGGGGTGGTGGCGATGGGTGCCGGGGCAGAGTGTGGCGTAAGAGGGAGGTGTTGGCCAATGGGAGTTTGGGCAGAGAGGGGGTGTTCGGTAGCGGTGGCAGCGAGGAGTGTCGGGGCAGGGTGGGGTGCAAGAGAACGGTTTTGACCAGGGGGGGTGGGGCAGAGAGGGGTGGTAGCGAATGGTGGTAACGAGGGGTGATTTGGGTGGTGGTGTGGTTTGCCGGTGGGGTGTATTAGAAAGAGGTGTTTGGGCGCGCGAAAGGGGGGGGGAGGCAAGGATGGGATCTGACTGAGGGGTGCTTGGGCGGGAAAGGGGGGGGGGGGCGGGCTGGGAAGGAGGGCTTTGTTTTTTGCTAGGAAGTGGTGGCCTTTGGGGAGGTCGCTGGCGAGGTGAACGCCGATTTTGCTGCGTTAGCAATATGGACGGCACCGTATCTGTCACATCCGAAGGGCAAGGCGACAGAGTAGATTGCAGAAGGTAGACATATGACAGATGACGTACGAGAAAAGTACGTTCGCTAACCTCTGCGCTTGCCCCCCTGCCGGCACGCTGCAGAAACGTGTCGCACGCGGACCTGCGAGCGTGGCCTGGCCTGGTGGACAGATCCGCCTCCTCGCCGCCTGCCCCGCCTTCTCCTCCCACAACGCCTCCTCCTCCGGCTCCTCCTCCTCCTCCTCTCCTCGTCCCCTCTCTGCCCTCTTCCTCTCCTCTCCATCGCCCTCCTTCTTGCTGACGCTGCGCTAACTCAAGGTGTCCTCATCCTCCTCCTCATCCTTCTCCTCCTTCTCCTCCTCCTCGTTCACCTCCTCCTCCTACCTCCTCCCCCTTCTCGTCCTCCCCTATCCCTCGTTCTTTCCCTACGCCATACTCCCCCGGCCACCCCCTTTCCCTTAACCTCCTCCTCGTCCCTTCCCCCCCTTCTCTCCGTCCACCGTCTCCTCCCCCGTTCCCCTCGGTGCCGAGATCCCGCATGAAGTCCAGACGCCCCACCCCGAACAAGCGAATGCCCGCTTGGGCTGGCACTACTTGTGCACGAGCTGCTGCCAGCGGTGTTGGCCAGTGGGAAGAAGGCTGAAGGGGAATGATGGAGGAGGGGCACCAGAGGAGTGGGAGGAGGGAGGAGGCGCAGAAAGATTACCAAGCTCGCTATAGGCTTAACTGATACATCTGTTTGTGGCCCCCCCCCCACCGGACACAACCCGCCAGCGAAAATACGTGCAACCCTGTAGCGCACGATGGAGGGCCGCCTGGCTTTAATGAGATCTAGACCCATATACACATACATATATATATATATATATATTTAAGGACGAGGTGGCCATGGGAGAAAGACTGGAAAGCATGCAACTGCAAGAAGGTCTGACGCCAGCTGCTGACTAACACTTTGCAGAAATCTAACGGTATGACGTAAATTGTTCCGTCGTCGGGACACCATGTCCCACGGAGGCTGAGAAGTGTATACCCCCACATGCCAGCGTAGGAGTATAACATTCCCAGCTGGCCTGGGAATGGCTAACCCGATGGCAGAAACGCTTAAGTGATGCAGTTGCTCGTCCACGGAAACAGTCAGCCGATAACTTCAAGACTTAGGTGGTAGAGGGAGGAGGGAGGGGATGAGGATAATGAAAAGGATAAGGATACTGATAAATTTAATGGTACAGATAAGGGTAAGGAGCGGAAACAGATAACGATACGGATAACAATACGGATAAAGATAAGGATTAGGGTAATGATAATGATAAGGATAAGGGTGAGGGTAAGGATACTGAGCACAGAAAGATCGGGATACTGTTAATGATAATGATAAGTATCAACATTAAGATAATAGTAAGGATAACTATACTGATAAGGATGGAGAAAAGGATGATGATAAGGCTACGGATAATGCCAATGATAAGGATATGGATAAGGATAGGGAACCAGGATACAGATAAGGATAGGGATGTGAATGCGAATACGGATCCGGATAATGATAAGGATAATCATACGGATGCAATTGATGATGGTGATAATGATAATGATTGCGGTAAGGACAATGAGTAGGATAGGGATAGGGATGAATGATAAGGATAAGGATAAGGATAACGATATGTATAATTATACTGGTATGGATGATGGTAAGGATGATGATAAATATACTACGTATGATACTGACGATGCTGATACTGATGATGATGCTGATGATGATGATGCTGATGATGATGATGCTGATGATGCTGATGATGATGATGATGATGATGATGATGATGATGATGATGATAGGGATAAGGATAAGCGCGTCGGAGGCGGGTCCATGCTGTGGGCAGGACAGCTGGGCCTCTGCGGAAGATACGTATGCGGGCCCCTTCTCCCCCCTGCACTCATCAAGGGCCTGCCCGGGGCATTCCCCCGGGGACAGGACGGAGGAGGGAGACCAAGGAGGAGGGAGGACGGAGGACCGTGGGAGGAAGGTGGGAGGCGCAGAGGGGGGGGGTCAGGAAGGCACCAGCTATACGCCAGCACCGATCCTGGCCAGGATCACCATGGGCCCAGGATCGGCCTGGCCAGGATCGGTGTAGGCGTATGCTCGGTGCCTTCCGCGGGGCGGGGGGGGGGAGGCCACCCGCTGTTCCCTTCCACCTTCGGGCAGCAGAGCCTCCAGGGCTATGGAGCTGGGCGCGCCCGGGGGCTGCACGATCTCCACGAGGTGCTGCTGAGGCGAGCGGATTCTTTCTGGAGGGCCACGATGGATGATGGCAGTGGTGGTTAGGAGGAGGAGTCAGGGAGGGGGTGAGGAAAGAGGGGCCAGGAAGGAACAGAGACAAGACGCCAGAGGAAAAGAGGGGAGGAAGGATAACAACGGAGGAGGAGCGGTCAGAAGAATGAGTGGAAAGGGAGGCGACGAAACAAAGAGGGGAAACAAGAAGCAGGAGAACCCGAGCTCCACCAAATGCTGCCGAGGCGCGCATGCCCTCTGGGTCGCCTCCACACCGTTTTGGCGGTAGGTTGTCCGAACAGGGCTAGGTTTCGTGCAGAACGTACCGCTTGGAGAAAACAAGTCGCGCATCGGTGATAGATGTCGAATCCAAAAAAAAAACACCCAACCCCACCAGCCTTTTAGGGCGTAGGTGGTTTAGGGCGCTTCCTCTTGCAACCCATTCTTTCCATTGGGGAAGGGTTTCGCCCCTCTCTCATACACCCTCCCCTTGGGTCTAGACGGGGGGGCCGCGAGCCGTCACAGGGCCCCAGATGGCCTCCAACATGGCCCGAGACTGCGCAAGATCGTGCAAAGTGGTTCTCAATCTACTCCAGCAAGTCCCAGGACCGCTCCAAGACGGGTCCAAACGGCCTTCGGGGCTCCCCTGGACGCCCTAGAGATTCCCCAAACCAGCAAGAACCAGGTGGAAATCAATGATAGCCAGCGCGGGCCCCAAATAACGTGTTTCTGGAAGAAATGTATGTGGTTCAACATAAGTGGCGCAAATCACCCTGCCGAACTTGTGTCACACCCAATGCTCGCGCAATCATCCCACCTACCCACCAGCACTTTGGTTTGCAAAACCCAATGCGGCGGCGATTGCCATGTTTGCTTGGTGCTGGCTGGCGCGTTGGTTCGGCCGCGCTAGTGCGCGCACGTTCGCGCGCAGAGCGGCCAGCTAGTCTGGCGCGACCGACGCGGCCGCGGTGGCGCTGACCGATAGGCATTTCAGTGTTAGACGGTGAATCGGGCGGGCGCGGTATCATGGCGGCATCGACAACGGCAGACGCGCTGATGATGGTAGCGATGCTGGTGACGACAATGACGATTACGACGGGAAGGCCAACGACGGCGCCGATGCTGATCACTTCGATAAGGATGACGGTGTCCACGTGTCGGCGATGATGGTCTTGGAATGACTTCGACATGCGCGCGCGGCCGACGCGCGCAAGTGGCCCGCATGCCACTGTTTGACACGGAGCGTGCCCAACCCACCCCTCAAGCACGCGCGCAAGGACCAGAACTTCGAGGCGGATCCCGTGGTGGCGACGACAGCCTCCTAGGAGAACCAGAAAGACGACACCTAGGGAAGGGCACGTAGCGGTATTGGCACCTGTTCCTCCACTGACGAAAGCGAAGCATTCATGACCGTATGACTGGATGAACGCCTCCTCCTGCTCCTCTTCCGCCGCCGCCGCGGAGGAGGAGGCGGAGGCGGAGGCGGAGGCGGGGGCGGGGACGAAGGAGGAGGAGGAGGAGGAGGAGGAGGAGGAGGAGGCGGGGGCGGAGGCGGAGGCGGAGGCGGAGGCGGAGGCGGAGGAGGAGGAGGAGGAGGAGGAGGAGGAGGAGGAGGGAGGAGGAGGAGGAGAAAAAGCAGGGCGGCACGGCGACACGCCCTATCCGATCCCGCCGCGGACCTGCAAAAGGCGCGGTTGGGGAGCCCTGGTGCGCCCATCAGGGCAAGGACCGGCGCACTCTGCACGAGTGAGGACGACGGGCTGGGGCTCGAGGGGGAAGAGGAAAAAAAAGAGGAGGAGGAACAGGAGGAGGAGGAGGAGGAGGAGGAGGAGGAGGAGGAGGAGGGAAGGAGGAGGAGGAGGATGAGGAGGAGAAGGAGGAGGAGGAGGAGGGAGGAGGAGGAGGAGGAGGAGGAGGAGGAGGAGGAGGAGGCGGGGGAAGGGGAAGACGGGGAGAACGCAGGACGTAGCATAGAAGGCGTAAGCATCGAGTCGCAGGCTTATCAGTTTGCAGACACAACACTTCAAGGGATGAGGCGCCAGCTGCCATTAGAGGTTCGCGAAAAACCAACGAGCCAGGAGCCTGTCAGGACGGCCCCTGCCGGGCGCCTGCCGTCCGCGAGCCCACCTCGGGCCCGCCGACGCGCAGGATGCGGAGGCGCCAAAGGACAGTGCTCCCCCAGGCTGTCGGATTCCGGGAAGCCGGCAGCCACCTGAGCCCCGCAGGGGCTACAAAAGACAAGCGGCCCAGTACGATGAACCTTGTGGCCATCGCGTTCGAAGAAGAGCCCACCCCCTTCCGCCGCCCTCTCGGCAGCAGCAACAACGGGAGGACGCCCCCCGCCCCCAAGGACACGAGAGCGCCACCCCATTTCCTCAACAGCGCGGGCCAGGGCCTGGAGCATGGGGAGCGGAGCGCGTTTAGCCCGTGGCTTTAACAAGGCTTTGACACTGGATGGGGTGCTGGCCACGGCCAAACGTCTCCTGCACTGGACGGCGGTCGAACCTGGAGCCAACAAGACAGGGTCGTGAGAGATGACAACGAGACTGTTTTGCCTGGCCGCCGTCTTGGGCCGGGAGCAACCTGGTGGACCTCGGAACGAGGACTAATCAATTGCGCAGCCCGCACCAGGAATTCAAAGGTGAGCTTGCACTCTTCAACAGCAGCTTTTCAAAAGTCGACCACTACTTCCGTAACAGCTACATCCTGGGCTCATAGGTTCGCAAAGATGTCGGCCTAGGCAGTGTCCATGAAACGATGGACCTTCTCTGCAGAGGCGCCCGACTGCACGAGCTTCCCGAAGAGCCCCGTGCGCCGGCGTCCCAATCAGCTCAAGCCTGCCACCCGTGCCTTCCGCGAAACGGAAGATCCGTCTCCAGATAGACGCGTGGCGCGACAGGCCACGCTCGAGCTCAGAGACCCAGGCCTGGACCTCTAGAGCAAAAACTTAAGCGATCGCGAGGTCGGGGAGACCCGCGCGCACGGCCCCCAGACCCGCCCAACGCTTGCCTCTGGGAGCTGTCTGGAAGCAGCCCGGCAGCCCCCCGAACTTCACTCGAAAAGGCCAGCGAGGATCCCCGCTGCGCTCCATCCGCATCTGGCAGCGACTGGGCACGCACCAGACCTGCCGCTGCAGTCCGCGGACAGCGGAGGGCCCCTGAGCGCCTCGGGCGAAACCCCCGCCCAGGGCGCGAGGGCGAGAGAGCGGCGGCGGAAGCCTCGCGGGAATGCGAGGGGGCCCGCAGAGAAGAAGGGCCACAGCCCAATCCGACCCCCGAGAAGAGAGACACCTCGCCCCCGCGGCAACCCCCCGCGCGGCCAGACACCATCTGGAAACAGATGCCTCGCCCGGTCGTCCTCTTCGAAGGAGGCGGAGGCCACGCTGCCATCGCGAAGCTGGCGGCCAAGCGCGCCGCGCTCGGCGCCGCAGCAACTGCGCGCGCCTGACAGCGACCGGCCGGCCTGAAACTTGCGCTCTGGAGGCCACGCGCCCCCCCGACAGCAAGGCCCTCGCGGGCCCCTGGCGCGCGCCCGCTGGGAGAGCAAGAACAGAGAGGCGCCTCGCGCGAACCCGGATCTCCGAGGCGCGGGCCGCCTCGAGCCAGCGGCATGGGACCCCGCGTCAAAGCTAGCGCCCGACCCCATCGCGCACGATGTCCCGCGCCGCCGAGGGCGAGCACTCACGCGCAGAATTCAGATCGCCCCCATCCGTTCGCGGCGCGCGCGGGGCCGCCGCGCCCCGCCGAAGAGCGAGGATGACGGCCGATATAAGACCGAAACACATTCTCCACGTCCCGCGCTGACGTAAAACCGCGCGCTTCGCCTGCCGCGCCGCCCCGAGCTGCGAGGCCGAAGCGCCCCCGCCCCAAAGCCGGGCGGCATGGCGGGCGAGAAGCTAGCAAGTCGCGCGGGGCGCAAGGTCACGCATCCGATCTTGTGCGCGCCAATGTTGACAGCGAGCGACGCGACGCCTTTCCCGGCCCCGATCAGCCCGCCCGCAAAACAATGCAGCATCATGGGGGAGGAGCCAGCGAGCCCAATGACCCCCGCCCCACGGCTACCAGACAGCGCCAAGCCCATCCCTCAGAAGGCCCAAACTTTCAAACCCGAGGGCCCGCAGCTCACCGCGGCGCTCCAGGACCGCACTCAAACGCTTCCTTTCCCGGGCCCTGCGGGCAACGCCACCCGCAAAAGAGTCGCGCCCCTGGCCCCACATAGACCTGAACGCGGACATCTTGACCACCGCTGCTATCGCGTCGACCGCCCGCCGCTTCGCGACTGGAAGCAAGGCAGACAGCCTTGGCGGCCTGCGACCGAAATCCGATGTCACGCGCTCCCTGGACAGAGGCCGAGACGACATTGGAAACGACGCCGGCCTCCTTAGCCTGGCTACCAAGCCACCGGAATGACGCGTCGCCCATGAGCCCACCGGGGGCAACGGCTCGCAAAGGCCTCGGGATGACGACCAGCACTATGGCGGTAGCTCGGCAACGTCCCCTGCAAGGAAATGCACTCCTAACTCGCAGGGTCGAATCCCGCGATGCACCCCAGCAGCGGATAAGTGCGCAGCAGCATCGCCCAAGCAAGGCAGAAGGGGCATCCTAACTCCGCAGCAGCAGACAACACCAGACATGGCAGGATCATCTCGTCACCCTCGCCTCGGGGCGGTCGGCGCGCCTCGCCGCCCCCGCCTCGGGACCGCGACAAGAAGGAACAATAAATGCTGCTGCGCCCCAAGCCAGAGCCCCAGATGAGGTCCCGCCGATTCCGCCTCTCCCACTCGACAGACACAGGGCGACGGGAACCTTCCCCCAGACCGCCATGAGCGTCTGCAGCAGGGCAACGAGTCTGTGCTCTCCAAGCTTGTCTGGCCTCGGCGACCCAAGAAGCTCCGCGGCTATCCGGCCGGGCGGCCACGCGCAGCGCGACTCGCAGCGCAAATGATGAGAGGCAATCACTTGCGTCGCCTCGCCGCTTAAAAGAAGCAGGCTGCGAGG